CAAGACCCCTTCCCCCATCATCGTCAACGGGCGAGTCGTTCGGCGCTCCTCCTGTTGACGCGGGGGCCGCGGCGTAAGTGATCCCAGAGGCTCTCGGCCAAGAGGGCGCAGACAAGGCTGAAGACGCTCGAGCGCTGCTCGGAGCGGGCCTTCCTCCTCCACCTTCTCCGTCTGTCATCTGCTGTTGGTGCTTCACCCGTATCCCCCCTGCCCTCCTCCCCCCTTTCTCCACCTCGCTCGCCTTCTTCGCCCTTCCTTCTCCAGACTCCCCTTCCTCTTCATCCTGCCCCTCCTCCTCCTCCTCCTCCTCCTCCTCCTCCTCCTCCTAGGCTCTTCCGCGTCCGCCACCGTCATTATCCTCGTTGCTTGCGTCGGCCTTCCTTGGTGGAATTCAGCCCAGGAGACCGCGTGTCTGCCGCCCTTTTCCAAGAGGTCATCGATGAGCTCCCGGCTGCGAGTGCCCCGAAACACTTGGCCGCTGTGCTGGACACGATGGCAGACCTGAAACCAGTGAACCTCCGAATGCAGAAACCGAACGCCCTGAAGAAGAAAAAGAAAACCAAGGGCCAGAAGTTGAAGGCCTCGCTGAGACACAAACTGGGGATCACCAAACCCAAGGCCTCGTTCCGGAGGGGCAGGGCCAAGGGCAAGGGCAAGGGGAAGCCCAGCACGGGCAAGGGCAAGGGCACGGGCACGGGCAAGGATAAGGGCGGCTTCGACAAGGGGAAAAGCAAAGCTAAAGCCAAAGCCAACGCCAAATCTGCGCCCAAGCGCAAGACACCAGATACGTCCGAGCAGCCGTCGGCGTTGGCCGTGGTCGACCCTGTGAAGCACTACCAATGCGAGGAGCTCGGGATCCCCGATGAGGCGCTTCCGAGGGCGATCGGCCGCGGCAAGCACTCGTGCACCATCTGCGGCACTCGCGGCCAGAGGGTCGACGTGATCATTAGGAACAGGAGCGGAGGGGGGGGGCAGAAGAAAAAAATCACCCGGGCGGTCCAAATCAAGCCACGCCTGCCTTTCTCCGAGGAGCTTCTTCGTGAAAGACAGCGGGGGTGTTTACGATGAGCAGCACAAGGGCCAGAGGAATTTCACCTGGCAGTCGTCGGGCGGCGCGGGGCCCGCGCGGGCCAAACTCAAAGAAGCGTGCAAGTTCGAGCGGAAGGATTAGGGGCGTGTGCGAGGCTGCCCGAGAGTACCCCAGATTTCGCAATAAAGGGAGGGGGGTCTCATTTCGGAGGGGGGTCTCTTCCAGGCTATCTTGGAGGGCCTGGGGGGTTTGGGGACGATGTTTTTGGGGGGTTCTCCCACGGGGAAGGTCTGAAATTGCTTGTCTTGGAGGGTCTAGACCCCCTCCCTTTCATTGCGAAATCTGGAGTATATAGCAGTTGCAGTATCGCTGCGAGTTTCTGGCGGCGTCAGGAGGTGGAGAGACGCCTTGAAGGCCGCCTTGCGCTGCAGCGCCCTCTCGTGCCAGATGCATATCGTGTCAGATCTTGTATGATATCGTGGCTTGCCTTTGTCGTGGCTTGCCTTTGTGCATGTCCTGCTCCTGTTCCTCGCCCTCCTCATCCGTCGCTCCGCTTCATCTCGCTCCGTCCTCGCTGCCCAGCCCCTCCCCGCGCTTGCCATCGCTCTTCCTTCTAGACACAGCCGTCGGACTTCATAGGGGCATAGAGGTGGATGGGGGCGGATTAGACAGACGATGGGATATGTGGTCATTTGAACACTCGCTGACGGCCCAGAGAGGCTCGAGGTGTCATGAGACACATGTGCGAGATAGGTGGCCGTGCTGCGAGATTGGCGGTCGTCTGCATGAGTGTTCGTTGTTATTTGAAAACTTGCGTGGACGTCATATGTGAGATCGGCGGCCACTCGAGTGCTCATTGAGAAAAATGCGTGAGATAGGCGCCCATGTCAGCGATCATTGTTCATTGAGAACATCGGCAAGACAAATATGCGAGATCTACGGTCGTTCGAATGTTCACTGAGAACATCTGTGAGATAGGTGGTTATGTGAACGCTCATTGCGTATTGAGCGCTTGTTCTCGCCCTACGCCTTCCCCCCCCTTTTCCTTCCTTCACCTCCTCCCCCCCCTTCCTCGTTGCCCTTCCTCCTCCGCCTCATCCGCCCTCGCTCCCCTTCCCCCCTCTCCTCCTCCTCCCTCGTTCCCCTGCCTCCGCCCCCCCCCCCTCGGCCACAAAGGATGGGGCCGCCGAACCCCGTGCATAGCGGCTCGGGCGAGGGCGCGGCGACGGCGCCCGCGACGCCAGGCAGCGACGCCGCCCATCACCTTGAACGGGGCTGCAAGACGTGCGCCGCCCAGCCCCGCCGCCCGGTGCACGAGCAGAGCTATATACGCATGCCGATATACAACTATACATTGAATGTGTAGATAGGTGTGTATATGTATACGCATGGACATACATAGATGCATGTATTCAGGACGGTAGGTACGTGTATCAAGGTATGTCGGTATACATGTACAAACACTTATGGTATACCATCGTATACACATATATATATATATATATATATACAGCCAACCATGCGCATATACAAACATGAATGCAAGCATCCACACATGCGTCAGCGTTCTCTGAGGGCTGACTTGCGCGCATCCCTTGGCGCCCCGATCGGTCAAGCCCTCTGGGCAGTGTCGTGGCCAGGCCCTCTTGGCGTGAACAACTAGCGCATGTTGGACGCACACGCAGATATACGTATATATATATATATATATATATATGGATACAGAGAGAGATGCGCACACAAGACTTGAAGCTCGCTGTGCTTCGCGTTGAAGGCTCAAAGAGCTCAGAGGGCTCATGAGGTTCGCGAGGTTCGGAGGGCTCATAGAGCCCTGTAGGGCCCATGGGGCCCACATAGGGCTCATATGGCTCATGTGGGGCTTAAAGGGCCCATAGGGCTCGTAGGGCGAAAAGCGGGCTCATAGGGCTCCTGTGAAGGCTTATCGGGCTCATGGGGCTCATGCGTCTCGCAGGGTTCATAGGGCTATACCATCGGGAGCATAAGCTCGTAAGCCACATCTATAAGGGGTCACAAGGCCGAGAGGGCTCAAGTCTCATAGGGCTCGCAAGGGTAATGAGGCTCTTGGGCTCCTGGGGCTTATAGGACTCATAGTGCCGAGAGGGCTCGCAAGGCTCGCGGTGCTCATATGGCCCGTAGGGCTCATAGAGCTCATAGGACAAGATAAAGGTCACGTGGCTCCGGGGGCGTCCAGAAGGCCCATATAGATCGATGGGCTCATAGGGCACACAAAGGCTCGTAAGGCTCATGGGGCTCTCAGGGCTTGCTCATAGGGCTCAGGCACGGGCTCCTATAGGACTCATAAGGCTCATGAGGCTTATGGGGCCCATAGGGCCAATCGGGCTCATAGGGCCCGTTTGGGCTTGGAGGGCCCATATGGCTCATAGGGCCCATGGGGTTCATAGGGCCCATACGGCTCATGGGGCTCAAGGGATAGTACTCACGGGGCTCATAGAGCTCATAGGGCCGAGATGGCTCGCATAGGGCTCGCAAGGGTCATGGGGCTCGTAGGGCTCATAGGGCTCTCATGAGGCTTTCAGGGCTCATGGGGCTCATAGGGCTCATGGGGCTCGTAGGGCCCATGGGTTTAAGATCGGGAATGGGCCAAAGAATGACGCCCGCTTCCTCCCGCAAGTCTCCCCCTCATGTATAGCTGGGCTGCTCGAGCTCTCTGGGAACGGAACCCCATCTTCCTCGCTCATGCTTTCGAGCCTGCGCCAGCAATGGTGAAAAGCAGTGCTTCGCCCCGGGCAAAAACTCGTTCGGAGAAGACGAAGTTGGCCGTGCACCGCAATTTCAAGCCGTTCTCTTCTGGACGCAATGGCGCAGCCAACCGCCGCCACACACAACGTCGTCTGCTGCAGCTGATGAAGATGGCTGGGGCCCCCGTCGTGATCATGGCTCTCGTGGCGAAGATTGCGATGTGCCCGTACTTCGACATTTCGGAAAGCGTGGATTGGACAGAATTCTTCAGCCACTTCCTTAAAAACGCACTGATCACGGATGGTTGGGGACCCACCAATTAGCAACCTAGGATGTGTGATAAGATCCTGCTCTCCCCCCTTACTCGTCCTCATCCTCCTAGCTCTCTCCCCATCTCCTCGTTGCGCCCCTATCCACTGCAAACTGCAATGTGTGGCGTGGCCTCCGGCTGCTCCAACCCTCGCCACCCTTCCTCCTTTTCTCCCTCCTATCTCCTTCCTCCACTTCTATATCCCATCTCGCCCCAGGCCCTGACCCCGACAAAAAAAAGGCGGGGGCGGTTGTCGAGGTTCCTGGGAACCACCGCCTGTCCAGTTCTCAGTGTGGATTGGCGTCGCTGGTGGCGTAAATGGTACGACCCCACATTGATCGAACCTTACTTTTTGTTTCGGGCGTGGCCCGAGTGTGCTTCTCGCCAGGCAATATGATTGCACTGAGCTGAACTCAACTGACTGGTTGCACCCGTTGCGCGACTGTCTTATTCTCGGTCGCCAAGGGCTCAACCGATATGGCGCAACCGATGACACATGGTGTTATGTTTGCTGCTGAACGCGCAACCTTTGGCGCAACCGATAGGTGACGGTTTTATTGTTGGCCGCCAAGCGCAGCGCAACCTATGGCGCAACCGATCGGATACGGTCTTGTTCTCAACTGCCGAGGACGCAAGCTACGGCGCAACCGATGAGAATTATTGTCCGTTCGATCATGGCGCAACCGATAGGAAGCCGAGCTGGATCGGGAATGAGACCAGAAAGACGATGAGGACGAGGCGAACGAGGAGGAGGAGGAGGAGGAGGAGGAGGAGGATGACGATCAGGATGGGGAAGATGACGGGGAGGAATACAAGTAATACGAGGACGAAGTGTTGGCATTCCAATGCACGCGGCGCTACGCCCGATTTATGTTCGCCGTTCGGGCTGGCAATGAGGCCCAAACGGCGAGCTGACGCGTGGTTTCACATCGTGCCGAGGCGGCAAGCAGGCGGTGGCAGACAGCATGATCGCCAAGGGGCTGACTGCAGTGCCATACGAGAAGCTCAACGACGCCACATACCAGAACCTCATGCATTACGCTGGCTTCTGTTATGCTTGCCTCCTGCTTGTGAAGAGCCGCGTCGGCAGCGGGTCCAACAGTGCGCCAGTGTGCAGCACGTGGGTGTGGGTATCGCGGGGGACGACCAAACGACGACCATGGCAACCTCTCGGAGTCCCAACCATTGAGAACGTTGCCAACGCCAACACGATGATCTCCCGGGTGATGATACTATGCTGGATCCTGGTCAGCAAAGGAATGTTGCTACGTTCCGTACATTCCGCCGCTCCCCAATAGAAAAATCTCGAATGGTCCCCGACGGGCCCTGGGCCAATTGTTCATATATCCCCTGGGCCCCAAGATGGGCCCCGAAATGCTGCCCCCAAGGCCTCAGTGGGCACCGCGCGGTGCGAAACCAATATAGCGCCGCGATGTGGGCATGCATGCGCCGCCCAAGCACACATCGATATGCCAATCGTACGAACCAAGGTTCGTGGCGGATCTTCTTCATGCTCGAACAACCGAGGGGCTCGCTCATGGAATGGCACCCCAGGTTCCAGGACTTCATCAAGAGCCACAAGTCGTACAGGGTGTGTGTTGAAATGGGGCGGTTCGGGGCACCGACGGCGAAGCCGTCGTGGCTATACTCAGCGCACGAGTTCATCCAGGAGCTCCCCAACTACCAAGGTGCGAAGTCATACCAGCCAGGCCAGAACATGTTGGTCGACATGGTCAAGACCTCCGACGGCACCGTCCAAATCAACGGGAACCACCGCCTGAAGGGCAGCCAGGCGTACCCGAAGGCCTTCGGCAAGGCCGCTGCCGATCTCTACATGGCGCATCGGGCGGTCTGGGCTGTGAAATGAGTGGAGAACGCTATTGATGCGTTCAACTTGGTGTCTCCCGGTCTCTTCTCCTCCTTCTCCTCCTCCCCCTCCTCCTCCTCCTCCTCCTCCTCGACCTCCTCCTCCTCGACCTCCTCCTCCTCCTCCTCCTCCTCCTCCTCTTCTTGATCTCCACCGCCACCCTGCTGCGGCGGACGGCCGCGCCTCGGGGGACATCCCCGCGGCAACAGTCGGCGTCGGAGCCTTGCGGCGGGCGGAGCGAGGAGCGAAGATGAGGGGTCATGATGACTGGGGAGCACATGGAGGAATGGAAGAAGGAGGGGCACACGGAGGAATGGAGGAAGGATCGAAGATATGGCGGCGTCGATCGGAGTCGGATCGGTCTGACGTCGGCCCCGAGGCCGAGCTCAAGACAGCAGGGCAGGCGCTGATCCAGAAATCGAGCTCTGTGAAGGTGCGCCTCGCGCGTGACATCGCCACGAATGCGCTCACGGGCAAGCGCCGCTGGGCGGATGCTGACCTGAAGCCCGTGTTCGGGTACTTAGATCTGTAGGAGGTGGTATCCCCTATTGCCACCTGCGCCTCCATGGACACCAACGATGTGCATGCGCCCACCCACGCCGCTCCTGGGCCCATGCTCGGCGCGCACATTCTCCTGGCCTGGCCGTGGATGCATGTGCGCTGAGCATGGGGCCAAGAGAAGCTCGGTGAACATGCGCACGCGTCGCTTGCGTCACCCGATGCCCGTGCTGCGCGCTGCTGCGTGAGCCGCGCCCTGCACACAACCTCTCCGCCATTATAAGACAAAAATAATACCACTGACGTCGCCCTCCCCCCGCCCCCCCACCCCCCCCCCCACACACACACACACACACGCACCCACCCACCCACCCCCGCCCCCCCCCCCAACCCTCCCCCAAGCAAATCCACGCCCGTAGAATGGCCGTGAGACAGCCGTAAAGTGGCGTGTAATGCCGTAAAATGGTTCCCCATCCCTCCCCTTCCCCCGCCAACCCTCCCCGTGACAAAAATCCGCAGCCGTAAAATGGCCGTGAGACAGCCGTAAAGTGGCGTGAAATGCCGTAAGATGGTTTTCTTCCACCCCCCGCCATTGTTCCCCCTGCCCCGTCAGCCCTACCCCAGCCCTCCCCACAACACACACGCCAGCTCGCTGCCTGATCCCCGCCGCCCGCCCAAACCATACTATACTTGGAGCGAATAGTTCATCTTCTTTGGGCTGGGGACCCCTAGAGTTGCCACGAAGCCTCAGTGAGGAACCTTGTATAATTCTGTCTCACAGAAAATCAGACGCGGCCCCGTGTGCATGCGAATGCCCAGATTTCGTGCTCATGCAATTCGTATTCCTCCCCGTCCTCCCCCCCCATCCTGATCGTCGTCCTCCTCCTCCTCCTCGTCCCCCTCCTCGTCCTCCTCCTCGTCCTCCTAGCCATCCTCGTCCTCCTCCTGTCCCAACTCGGTTTCCTATCGGTTGCACTATAGGTTGTGCCCATCGGCGGCTGGTAATAAAACCGTCTCCTATCGGTTGCGGCCTCGGCAGCTGATAGTCCCACCAGCCTTCTGGGCGTCGGTGGTTTAGTGAATGTTTGATCGATCTCCTCCAATATGGCCCCACGAAGCGCCCATGAGGCCCCAAGAGGTCCCAGGATGGCCCCAAGACGGCCCCAAGATGCCCCCAATATGCCCCCAGGAGACCCCCAAAAGGATCCCGAGCGGGCCCAAGACGCCCCCCCCCCCCGAGGCACCCAAGACGCCGACGATCCCCCCACGACCGCCAAGAGACCCCCAAGATGTCCCAAGACGCCCAAGAGGTACCCCAAGAGGCTCCGAGAAGCATCCAAGGGACCTCTGACCCTTTTGCTTGCTCTCCTCCTCCTCCCCCTCCTCCTCCTCCTCCTCCTCCTCCTCCTCCTCCCCCTCCTCCTCCCTTCTCATCATCCTCCTCCCCCTCCGCCTCCTCCTCCTCCTCCTCCTCCTCCTCCTCCTCCTCCTCCTCCTCATTGTATTCATCCTCCTTGTCCCTGCTCCCTCATCCATCCATCCAATTTTCTCCTTCGCCCCCTCTCTCCTTCACACGGCTCGGCCGCCCCCCTCTTTGCTCCAGCACTTCGCCCCTGATCACCTCTCAACTCGCATGGGCATCGTGTCTGGATGGGCTGGTGGGGATCCCTCATCGGCTGATAATGGAACCGTCTGCTATCGGTTGTGCCATAAATTGCGCCCATGGCGGGCGCGAGTAAGACCGTCTCCTTGTGCCATGTGTTGCGCCCTCGGCGGCCGAGGATAAACGCGTCTCCTATCTGTTGTGCCATATGTTGCACCCTCGCGGGGAACGGCGATACAACCGTCGCCCATCCGTTGCGCCGTGGGTTGCGTCCTTGGGTTTACCTCGCAAGAAACAAATTCGGGCTACGCTTGAACACAACGGCCTCTGTTCCGTAGCCATTAGTGCTTTCAGGTCGTCGCCCCAAGCTGCTGACGCTGTGGCCCACGCCGCACCTCTGGAGGCCATGTCTCAAGTTGCCCCTCCTGATCTGTCCGGCGCGGTGGCGACGGAGGGCGAGGTGATCCGCACCCCGCCGCCAGCACGTGAGAGGAGCACGCCTCGGATGGAGCTGAGCCGCCCTAAGCAGGCGAAGCCGATGGCCTCGAAGTCAGCCCCCGCTTCCAAGCCGAGCCCGGTCCGCCTGGGGGGGAAGACCGACGCGCTGGCGGCGGCCATTCGCATGCTTGGGGTACGCTCGTCCCCAGGCCAGCCTGCGACGTCGGCCGCGCATGAGCAGGTGGGGCCAGTCCTCCCGGCGGCACCTGCCAGCGGTGCCACTCAGGTGGAGACACCTGATTACTACGACTGGAGGTCCGAGGTGTACTTGCACCAGCGGTTCCCTTCCGAGTACGTGTCGCAGCTTGTGAAGATGAAGACCAGGCTGAAGCAGTACAACGATGGCATCAATGACGTGCGGCACTACTGGGTCAAGCGCGAGCCCGACGACGACGGTGCTGCCACGCCTTGCGGGGGAACGGCCACCCCAAACGTGGCGGAGATGCTGGAGAAGAACCTGACAGAGATCTGTTCCGAGATCGGCCTGCCCCTGGAGAAGATCGCGTCGGCGTGCGGCTGCGCGCCCCTGTCCGCTCTGATCGCCAAGCTCGCCGAGGGTGCCGAGTTCGAGGACGAGGATGACATGAAGCACGAGCTGGACACGTTGGTCCTTTGGGTGGTGGAGGGGGGCGAGATGGCGTCGAGCGCGGCGCCGAGCCCCTGCGCTGCGTCCGCAACCCCGGCTACGCCCCCGCAACGGCCCGCCGCGGCCGCGCCCGCGAGCGAGCCACAGCCGACGGCTGTGCCGAAGGCTGTGCCCGCGACCCCGACTACGTTCGCGGGTGCGCCGCTGCCTGGATCGCCTGTGCCATGTGCGACACTGTCCTTCAGCGAGTTGGGCCGCCAGCCACGGGCCAAGCAGCTTGCTGCGGCCGTGCCGTTGCCCGTCGTCATGGAGGGGTCCCAGGAGAGCATGCGCAGCGACATGGGCGCGGCGCCTGAGTTCCCCGACCTCGATGCCATCGACTCGGCTTTCTGCCCAGAGGAAGCTGGCGCGCCCCCTGACGACGCTGGCTCGGCAGCTGGCGTCGCAAATATGCCGGCCACAGATGAGGAGATGGTTGCGCTGCAAACGAGCTTCTCGTGCATGGAGGCGGGGGGCGGCTCGACGGAAGCCACTGCGCCCGGAGTGCTCGATCCCTCGGGGTGCGCAGCGGCCGCAGCGGATGCCATTCTCGCAGCAGCGCAGGCAGCAGCAACGGCGTCATTCCTCATAGGGAGCTCCGAGACGGCTTCAGGAGTGTGTTTGCGCTGCCTAGGGTTACTTGGCCTACTGTTAAGGGCCCCGTGTCTGCCCTTCGCCTTACCCTCCTTCGCCTCGGTTGGACCATGGCTGACTATGCCACTATTGTTGACGACCGTGGTTATCGTTTGCAGCTCGGCCTGATTCCCCCCAAACTGTTGGAAACTATGTGTAAAGAGGCCTACCTGCGTGGGCTCGAGCGGGATCTTGGGGGTAAATGGGGGCTTGAATGCAGGGCGTGTCTGGACATTCCCAGAGCTGCTTGTGTCAGTAAGAAGTTCACACCAGCGCAGAGGGGCTGGATTCGGGCTTGCTCTTGTGATGCCATTTGGTCTGCGGACAAGGCCTTGGCATGTGGGTATCAGGTAGACCCGCTTTGCCCTCTCTGCTCTGCTGCGCCCGACTCAGTGTTTCACAGGCTTTGGCAGTGCACGGCGACGGAAGTCCAAGAGTCGCGGACTCAGCTGGTCCCGGCCTCAGTCGTGCTAGACGCCATCGCCGTGTGGACAGCTCAGGCGGAACCTGACCCTCATGTGCGAGCTCTTTATACTAGAGGAGCTTTCGCTCATCCCGCTGATGTGTTGCCGCGTCCTGTTGAGGAGGGAACTAATGCCCTTCAGTTCGTCTGGCATAGTGACGAGCTCCCTAGCCCGGAAGGTCCCAGGGTCCCAGTGAACGGGGAAATGTGGGGGCACGTCTTCATAGATGGGTCCTGTCAGCGCCACCCGATCAAGGAATTGTCTAGAGCTGCCTATGCGATTACTATGAACGCTGAGGATGGCACGTGCCTTGGAGAGGCGAGAGGCCCTGTCTGGGCTCATCTTCCTCAGACGCCTCAGGCGGCTGAATATGCTGCCAGATGTGTCGCCGCACAGTTCTTGGTGTTGCCGACCACAATTTATTCGGACTGTGCGAACGTTGTGTCTCACAGCACGTTGCCCTTGCCTGAGAGGTACTCGGGCAAGAGGTCTTATTCAGGAATGATCATGTGTGCCAACAACTTTGAGGGCGGTTTTTTGGAAGGAATTGTTAAGGTCAAAGCTCATTTAGATGTGCACCAGGAGGGCATCTCGGAGAGAGAACGTTTCCTCAGGCGTGGAAATGCTGATGCGGATGTGGGGGCCAAACATGCCCTTCAGCTTCACCCATCTGACCCGACTGAATTAGCCAATGTGGACAAGCTTGTGGAAGCGGCCAGGGGTTATTGCATCCTTGCTGCTAACTTGCTTCCTCTTTGGCCTAAGCTCTCTCTCGACGTTCCCTATCTCCCTCCTCCTCCTGCTGAGCATTTAAGCTCCCGCAGTAAGGTAGGCCATCGTTGGGAAGTCTGGGCTGACGTCTGGAGGTGTGCGGTGTGCCTCCGCGGGAACAGGGGCTCGTCACGGCCTCCCCCTGGTAGGTGCCCCCAGGATTCTAAACTGCATGCGGCAAGGCAAGATGCTCTTGGGCATAGGACTGTTGCCTTCGACTGCTCTGACAAGACAGTGCTTTTCATATGCCTAAAATGTAAATGCCACTCCACAGGTGGCAGGATTAGAGGCCTAGGCGAAGTTTGCAAGAAGCCTACCCGTGCGGGCCGTCAGGGTTGGGCCGCCTTGTGTAAGGGAATTCACCCGCAGTACTCTAAGTCCAGCAAAGGTGTCACAGTTGATGACACCTCGCTAGTGCGTTGCTTCAACTCGTATTTGGT